TTCCATTGAACTGTTGGTAATCTTCCATTTTACTTGAGTAACATAATAACACATAGTACTGTTAATATCATCTGAGCAGTTAGATAACCACATGTCTTAGGGTCCACAATCAACAATGGTGTAATTGGCCACAAACATTAATTTCCCTGATTTAGCTTGACATATATGCCAAAAACAGGAGTGTATTTAAAGTCCTTATAAATAAACACCTTACATTCCAACTTTTTTCCTTCTCCTAGAGTTTTGGTTGTATTGACATGGTTCTCATAAAAGGACAGGGCAGTAAGCAGTCCAAGCAATATGCGGAAGTTCTTTTTTGGAGGCAGGAGAAAAGTCCATGTTTGTTGAACATGAATACATGATACTGCTGGGCCCATGCATAAAAGGAAGGATTTAATAGCCTAGAGAAATGTTAATCAGTCTGCCTTCTTTCTCAGGATGAGACGGCCCCCTCCAAGTTCCAAGGAAAAGGCATACATATTGAGTCATTAGTGGATTGATCAGTTCTATGTCTGTCCATTTTGTAACCTGCAATAAAGGAGGGTTAGGTATGGCCCAATAAGTGTTATTAATCAAGTCAGCCTGAGTGGTAGAAGCAAAAGCAAGCCAAGCAAGCGTGGCAACAAAAATATTTTCAGGATTCCGAGGAATTCTCTGTTGAGAAACAAGATTTTCAGCTTGATTAGTAAGGATTCTTATCTGTCCCCAAGTAGGGAGATAGAAGGGCAATGATGTTCAGTGTGGCATTTCTTGGCAGTTCTTAAAGCCACGATGGCTTGTACTGGAAACTCTTCCTTCTGGGGATGTTGCCGTTTCTTCTCTGTCTTGAAGGCTGGTGGCTCCCTTGGGGCAGATCTTCTGAAGAGGGAACCAACTGATTCTGTAGGATCCAGCTGGAGAAATACAAGCATATGCATTTTCCCTGTAATAGTAATTTCCCAAATTTTCATCGTTTAGTCAACCCATCTTGATACCAAATAGGCAGAGGAAGTGAGGTGTCCTTCAATGCCAAAATGTTTTTCTGCTTTTGTCAAAATATCTCCTTGTGGTAAGTTTAAAAAATGTAAAACAAAGCTGTATTAATAGTAGTTATAGGATTAAAGAATATATTGTGTTGGAATCTAGTGAAGTCTGCTCTGGATAAGGAGGATAGATGTGTTCCTGTGTGTTCCCCCTTTTTTAATTGTTTTATTTATAGTTTCAATGTTCAACTATGTCCTATGCTTGTGGATTATAAGGAATACCTATATGTTTAATAGAAAATGAGTGTAAAAATTGTTGGAATTGTCTAGAAATATAGGCAGGGCCATTGTTTTTATAGAACTAGGTGTTCTCTTTATTGCAAAGCAAGTTAACAGGTGGGTTATAACATGTCGTATAGTTTCACCTCGGAGAGGTGTGGCCCATATAAAAGAAGAATTTGTATCAGTTGAGACATGTAAGAAGGCAGAGGGAGAAAGTTCAGGTCAGTGAGTTATGTCTATTTGCCATAGTTCATTGGGTTGTAATCTTTGAGGTTTGATACCTTGTGTAATGGGTTGAAGATGTAGGGGCCTATGAGTAGAGCAGTTATTAATGGTTTCTTTAGCATGTCGGTATGGGATTTTCCAAATTTGATGTAATGAGCCGGCATTATTGTGTAATAGAGCACGTTGGCCCCATAATATTGACATATAATGGAAGACTTCATCATTTTTTGAGGCAGTACAGTCTGTTGATATCGTTTGTGAGGCCCGCTATGATTAGGATAAGGGAGAGAGAAAGCAAATCTCTCTAGGTCTAGAGGGTGTAAAGGTATATAGTATTCTAGAAGGGACTGTTTGAGGAAAGAGAAGAGAATCATTTATGACTGGTATATTCACGGCAGCATTGTTGGAGGCTGCTGTGAATGGGAAAAGATGGAGTTTGTCCCTGGTTTTTGTTGATGGGGACCTGGTGAGTCCCCCTCTTTGAGTTTCCTGAAATAAGATTTCACCCAACATCATATTTAGATTGACATTTTTTAGCCCAGTGTGAGAGTTGGACTGTGAAGAAAGCTGAGCACCGAAAAATTGATGCTTTTGAACTGTGGTGTTGGAGAAGACTCTTGATAGTCCCTTGGACTTCAAGGAGATCCAACCAGTCCATCCTAAAGGAGATAAGTCCTAGGTGTTCATTGGAAGGACTGATGCTGAAGCTGAACTCCAATACTTTGGCCACCTCATGTGAAGAGTTGACTCATTGGAAAAGACCCTGATGCTGGGAGGGATTGGGGGCAGGAGGAGAAGGGGACGACGGAGGAGGAGATGGCTGGATGGTATTGCTGACTCAATGGGCATGAGTTTGAGTAAATTGCGGGAGTTTGTCATGTACAGGGAGGCCTGGCGTGCTGCTATTCATGAGGTTGCGAAGAGTCAGACATGACTGAGCAACTGAACTGAACTGAACTGATCCTCTTATGACAGTGAGGGCAGACTTTTGGAGGCTTTTGAATAGTTACAATTTGTATGCGCACGTGTGTGTGTGTGTGTGTGTTCGGGCAATTGTTTTAATGGCTCTTATCTCCATAAAAAAAACATCTTTCATTTTCCTTTTTAAAGGTAGCAGCCATTGTTTTAGCTAACATTTGCATTTTCTGAGTTTTTAATCTTAAATTGTGACAAGCCTTCAAATAATAACATTCTTGGTCTCATGAATTGGAGCAATGGCTCTTTGATATTTCTGATTCACATTCTCATATATAAGCAGTTTTTCTCACTGTATTTTGGCTTCTTCTGTGAGAACATTATGGGAGATAGCAACTCCCAGTCTAGCTAAAAAATCAGCATAGGCTTCATTAGGTCCTTATAATATCTTTGTGTAGCTACCTTTACGTTCCCCTTGAGGAGTAATTTGATCCCAAGTGTCAAGGGCAAGTTCTTTCAATTGTTCATGCAGTCAACAGATACAGGGCATTGTATCTGAACTTGCACCGAATCAAATTGCCCTGTACCGGTTAACATTTCAAAAGTAATTTGGTTTTGGGGAGTGCCAGTTCGAGCGTTAGAATTGGCATGATCTTGGGCCACATTGTGAAACTGTATTACCTACTGAAGATATTTTCTTGGTTTAAGAAGAACTTATATCAAAATTTGCCAACCATAAGGAATAAAATTTTCAATAGAAGATTCCATAGAGTTTAGTAAAAAGTGAATAAGGGCCATACATAGTTGCAACCTTTTTCATTTTTCGCATGTGAGATAAACCAGTGCCTTCATATTGAGCTATTAGTTGCCCTTGAGCGTTAATATTTCTTTACACAGGAAAGGCAAGAAGATCATTGGCCTCAGAGACTTGAGATTGGAAAGCCAGTAAATCAGAAAGCCTTCGTGGTGAAGGAGAACGAGTGGATCGTCTGTATTCTTAAATATGAGTGTGTGTTAGGGGCTTATTATTGTCATCAAATGTATTGTTGGCTTTAGTGTCAAAGAGAGCAGCAGAAAAATCATCATCAGATTCATTTTGTCTTTTAATTGAGGGGAACTTAGTTTTCTTGCCTGTTACTAGAGCAGGAGGAGTGCTTGGGGCAGTGGGAGCAGGGATGGTGGGAAAGTTTTGAAACATTTTATGTTGCTCTAAGTGGGCCTTTTGTAAAGTCTTATCATCTAATTTATAGTCATATAATGAGAGTTAGGCTTGTTGATGATATTCAGGGGGCTAGAATTGCTTTGAAATGGCAAGATTATGGCTTTAATGAAGGCCCACAAGGGCCAGAAATCTATTGGAGTATTTTCTCTCTGTCTTGTGGTTTAATTTTTTTTAACCCAGTTCCAACTTTTTAAATTGGAACTGCTTTCATCAAGGAACCAGGGATTATATTCAACCACTGTTTGTAGACAAGCCTCTATCTGCTGATGTGAAACCAAAAGTCCTGAACCTTAAATAAATGATGAAGTAAAGTAGAAAAGTGGTGGGGGCATTCCAGCCATTTGTCACATAACCGAAACTCCGTAGGTTCTAACAGTCACTCCATCTGCTTGTCAAGGGCATTCACCAGGTCCCTGTTGGGGTGCCGCTTGTCACAGTCTTTGTAGACTGGGACCTGGGGACTGGAGTCAACCAGAATTGGGACGCAGGGGACCCAGGTCTCGAGTGAAACAGGGGTGCTTTATTTGCAGAAATGCACATTTATATATCTTCATACAAGGCAACTTGTAGTAAAAAATTTGAGCAAAAACAAAGCCAAGCACATAACAGTCTTCAAAGGGCCAGAAAGTATTCCATATCTTGAGTAAGAGGGTTGTAACTGAATAATTACCTTTAAGTAAAATGTCACTGAAGGGAGTCACTGAAAGGAGTCCAAGAAGGTGCTCTTTCTCATGATCTCAGTCCTGAGAACTGTGTGCACCTCTGCTCATTGCTGTTTTCCAGGAACTGATAAGGAATAGAGAGTCCTTGAGAAATGGCACACAAGAGAATAACATATTGGATCCCTGAAAATTGAACATCCCCTTACAGAGTATGAAACATGTACTTTATATTTGTAGAAAAGGTCAACTCGTAAGCTGGAGCCCTGACCTTCTGCCAGTTCCTGACTTGCCTTTCTCCTTTTTTTTCCTTACTCCCCTTCACCTCAGTGCCAGTCCTTTTTGCAGTGAGCTGCTTTCTTGTTACAGGTGGTGGTCCTTACCAACTCTCCTTTGTAGGACCAGCTGAAGGTGGGTGAGTTCTGTCACAGGCATGGAATCAAGCTGGTGGTAGCAGACACCCGAGGTCTATTTGGGTAAGTTCCATCTTCTCGGTTTATCCCTAACTCCTTCCTAGGCCAGGCCAAAACCACCCTGGCTCTCAGTGTCCTAATGATTCTCTTAGGAAAACCATGTATACAAGTCTGCATGTCCACCTCTGCCCATACTGTGTAAGGACTGTCATGTTACCAGCATGATGCCTCAGTTCCCGAGTTCCAGGTCTCAGTCCTGTTTTCTCCTTTTACAGGCAATTGTTCTGTGACTTTGGAGAGGAAATGATCCTCACAGATTCCAATGCAGAACAGCCTCTCACTGCTATGGTTTCTGTGGTTACCAAGGTATGGAGTCTGGCCCAAGGCAGGCATGTTTGTAGCCTTAGTCCTTGTCTATGCTCCGGGTACCCTGATTCTACATGTGAGACTTTTTTTAACTTCTCTTCCAACCAGGGAAACCCTGGTATTGTCACTTGCCTGGATGAATCCTGACACGGATTTGAGAGTGGTGACTTCGTCTCCTTTACAGAAGTTCAGGGCATGAATGAACTCAATGGCATCTGTCCACTAGAGATCAAAGTCCTGGGTATGCTAAGCTGCGGGTCAGGAAATGATTACCTAGAACGAAGGGAGAATTGTCCCTGTGGTCATATGTATGTATACTGAATTGCACCACAGACCAAGAGGCTATAACTCTCTAATCTCTCACGTGGGATTTACAAGACATGTGTCCATGTAGCCTTAGTTGAGAACTGTGAACTGAACATAGAAGCAGAAAGATGAATACCGCTAGTATTTGATTCCATTTGGCTCATTGGTTGCACCTCTCTTTAATTTTTTCTTTCACTTTTAGACTGTGTAAATGTAAATTCTGCATTTGCTTTTCCAAGTAATACTTTATCACTGCACACACACACCAAAATAATTGTAATTTCATGTGCGTCATAAACCTCTTCAAGCATTGAAAAGCTAGAAGAGCTTTTTTATTTTATAATTGCCAAATTAAAATTATTTGTTGGGGTTTGACAGTTACATGTTCTCTCCATTTAGATGTGCATCCAGTACCATTTTGCTTCCACTCAAGCTCTATCAGATGTTGTACTTTAGTGGTTACTCTTCTTGCTTTTAGATGTTTGAAATTGTCTTTATTTCAGAATGCCTGATTTTGAACAAAAAAGTTTTTGCAGAGTGTAGCATTCTAGATATCATGGCTTAAAGATGTGGTACTGTTCTTTCTTGCCTTTTTTCCCCACAAAGTCTCCTGTTCTTACCCTTGTTCCTTTGCATTTAATGTTCTTATATTTTCTATCACTGATCTTAAGAAATGGATTGATGATTATATACCTTAGTATATTTTGCAATTATGATAGCAGACTTTTGTGTAATTTTCTCGGTGCTTCCTTTCAAATTTATACTACCTTTGAGACCGTAGCTTTGTCAGATTTGGAATATTTCTGCACCCTCCCACCCCCACCACCTTCTTTCGTCTCAGTACTACTTTCTCAGCACCCCCCCACTCCATCATCTCTTTCTAGATCTCCAGTTACATGCATTTTAAGCCACTTTACTCTTTGGTTGTCTCCATGCTCTTTGTGGTACCATGGATAATTTCTTCTACTTTATTAAATCTACTACTTTTTTCTTGTGTGTTAATTTGTTAAACATACCAAGTATATAAAAGCAGTGCACACATGCCTGCATGCTAAGTCACCAAAGTTTTGTCCAAGTCTTTACGACCCTGTAGAGCGTAGTCTGCCAGGCTCCTCTGTCCCTGGGATTCTGCAGGCAAGAAAACTGGAGTGGAATACCATTACCTCCTCTAGGGGATCTTCCCACTGAGGGCTCAAACCCGGGTCTCTTTTAATGTCTCCTGCATTGGCGACAACTAGTTCTTTACAACTAGCACCACCTGTCACGTCATAAATATATTTCATGTGTCAACAGAGTTCTCTGTAATCATGAATATAGATAGTACAGAATGATTTGGAAGATATAAAAAAGACATATGGCTGCTTCAAGTGAAAAAAATACATGGAATCTAATAAATCCCAACAAAGGTGTGAGGCAGAAACGTTTTTTTAAAGAAATAATATTTCAGAGTTTACAGATTTGATGAAAATTAAAGCCAGAGACTCATGACCTGGAAATTTTTGATGGATGGAAGATAATTGTGGATTTTAGAGTTTCAAGCTGTGTTTTTGTGTTCCTTTCATAATTGTTGATCTTATCTCATTGATGTTGGATCCTTTAAGAGCTTGCTGCTTTTTGCTCCGGAGTGACATATTAGACATAGAGTACCTATGCTATTGAAGAAATCAGCATTGTGGGGTTTTTTGTTTGTTTTTAATGAAAGTATTTTTAATTGAAGTGCAGTTGACTTAGAATCTTGCATTAGTTTCTACTTTAGAGTAATGTGGTTTAGTTGTATATACATTCTTTTATGTATTCTTTTCCATTATAGTTCATCACAGGGTATTGGATATGGTTCTGTGTGCTATAGAGCAGGACCTTGTTGTTATCCATCTTGTGTATAATAGTTTGCATCTGCTAATCCCATACTTTGAATCCAAGGGAGAGGTGGGTGGTGGAGAGGGAGAGGTGGGTGGTTCTTCCATTCTGGTTTTGGTAGTCCTGTTGATCTTGGGAGGGTGTGAATTGACAGATAAATCTTAATGCTTTTTATCCTCTAGGTCCTTATACCTTTAGTATCTGTGATACCTCAAATTTCTCTGATTATATCCGTGGAGTCATTGTCAGTCAGGTCAAAATAGCTAAGAAGATAAGCTTTGTAAGTATGTGCAGGAGGGTGTACTGTAAGGTTCCAGGTATTTCTCACTTCATTTTCTTTTGCTTTTCTAGTTCTGATGTGGTCTTCCCTGTTCTCCACCAGAAATCCTTGCTCAACTCACTGGCAGAGCCAGACTTTGTGATAACAGATTTTGCCATGTCTTCTCGCTCTGCTCAACTGCACATTGGTTTCCAGGCCTTGCACCAGTTCTGTGCTCAGCATGGCAGGTCCCCTCAGCCCCACAGTGAGGTAGGTGGGTGGGCAAGCCAGCCCGGGTCCTTGCACCAAAGCTCTACCATTACTACTTGTCTTTACTTTTTCTGCCTCTCCCTCTCCCCACAGTGGCATGACTGAGTCTTTGTTTCTTGTGTCCTACCAGAAGGATGCAGCAGAACTGGTGACCCTAGCAGAGGCTGTGAAGGCTCAAGCCCCGCCAGCAGTGCAGCAAGACAATTTGGATGAAGACCTCATCAGGAAGCTGGCTTACATGGCTGCTGGGGATCTAGCACCCATGAATGCCTTCACTGGGGGCTTGACTGCTCAGGAGGTTATGAAGGTAGGTGTGGGTAGAAGGATAGTGGTGGAGTGGGCTCGGTTTCTTTCTGACTCTGCTACTTGCCGTCAGGCTCTGAATAACCGGGGATCACTTCTCCTTTCTTACGTCCTCCTCAGGCCTGCTCTGGAAAGTTTATGCCTGTTATGCAGTGGCTGTACTTCGATGCCCTTGAGTGTCTCCCTGAGGGCCAGGAGGCTCTTTCAGAGGACAAATGCCTTCCAGTATGTGATGGGGGCCCACAGAGAAGGTATTACTTTGGTCCTCTCTGGTGTACAATTTCTCTAATCCTCTCCTCCCTTCACCTGATGCAGTGCCAGAACCGTTATGATGGGCAGGTGGCTGTATTTGGCTCCAGCCTGCAAGAGAAACTGGGCAAGCAGAGATACTTCTTGGTGAGAACTCCTGTTGGGAACAAGCTCCTTTTATTTATCCTAGCTCTGGCCACCTCTTCCGGAGTCTTTGCCTTAGAAGGGAGGGTGTTTGATTGTACCCTCATCTCTTTTGTTTATTAGCATTTTGTTTTCATGCTAGTTCCTTTGTTCTTGGTCTTCTGCCTCTTTCCTGATGACCTTGCATTTTTATGCTCCTGGGATTTAAATATTCAATACTAGAGTCTCTTGCCCAGCCCTCTCTTACAGTCTCCGAGAGGAATAGGACTGAGGGGTGGCTTTGTTATCCAAGTGCCGCTAACCATTATCTCTCTCTCTTCTTGACTGCCTCCCAGGTGGGTGCAGGGGCCATTGGCTGTGAACTGCTCAAGAACTTTGCCATGATTGGGCTAGGTTGTGGGGATGGTGGGTCAATCACGGTAACAGACATGGACATCATCGAGAAGTCAAATCTGAACCGACAGTTTCTGTTCCGTCCTTGGGATGTCACGGTGAGTGAGATGGACAGGGTTAAGTTGTTGGGTTTTTCTCCTTTTCTTTGTTATCTGTCATGCTAACTTAGGTCTCTTTTGTTTACCCCTTTCCTTCAGTTCCTCCCTTATTTTTTCTCTATGGTTCAGTCTTTGAGCAGATATTCACTGAGTACTTGTGTCTTGCATTTGTCATTTTGCATCTCTCCCTACTCTTTTTCCTTTGATTTTTAGTTACGGCTTATGTGAGACTAGAGAAGCTAGGATATAGAGGAAAGTCTTATGTAAAAGTCAGGGTTATTTTTTGCCTGCTAAGTGTCTGCCTTTCATGTTATCATGCAGATACTAGGCACTGCTTTGATAGTTGAAATATATAAGAACATAGAGAAGTTTCTGCTCTTCTCTGATGCAGTGACATAACATTGAGAGTTTCTCAAAGTTCAGTGAAGGTAGATAGCACTCTTTCCTCAAGTCCATAGATGTTTCAAGACTTACGAGGACACTATTTTGCTTTTGTTTTCATTTCACCAGCTGAAGGGTGAATCTCCCTCTCTACTTTGAACAGCTATCTGACAAGAACACAGGGTTTTCCAAATGACTTGATTAGTGTATGATGGTACAGAATCGTGCATTAAGGAAATTCACTTTCAATTCTAAATGAATTGAAAACCAGTGAATGTTGATATGGATTCCACATTTCACCTTGCAACTACATTTGTAAACACCTGTCAAGTTTTCTGTATTTTTAAAATATCACCTAAAAACTGTTATTGAAACATTTTTTGTAAGGCTGAATATCCCTTAGGTTCTTTTAAACAAAATATATAATGCATTGACTGCAGTAGTTGTGAAAATTCTTCTGTCTTCTAAGATAGCTTAAGAGAAATGTGCAAAATTGTACTTACATTCAAAATCTGTCTTAATATTAAAGTCTTCATGTTGCGATGTTTTTCCTCAATGATTGTGTTATGTAATGGAATTATCCTAGTCTTAAACAGACTAATATTATTTATACCTTTCTCTGTTTAAGTGTCTAATGTAGGAAATATTGATGGCTTTGCATCACATTTAAAAAAATCCTTTTTAAGACCTCTGCTTTTTCAACTGCTAGAGTGGATAAATACCAATAGCAAAATGTATAGTTTGAACATGGGGTGAAAAATAATGTTTTAGGGTAAGAATCATTATCAAGATAAAGAACAAAGTGTCATGAGAGGGTAGTTTGCAATGTGGTAAAAAAGGTCTCATTGGAAAGGTGACATTTCCACAGAGAATTAAAAATGAGAGAGGTGGAGTGTAAGAAATATCAGGAAAGAATATACTATGTAAAGGTAGCAGCATGAGGAAAATCTCAAGGTTGAAATATTTTTTTCTGTGGTTAAGAGATAGAGACAGTGGAAGATCACAGGAATAGAGAAACTTGTAAAAGTAATAGGGGCCACTTTATCTTATCCTTAGTTGAAATTGGGAACTGAAAGAGGGTTTTGAACAGAAGAGGAGCTTGAGCTAAGTTTCAGAGGATCCTGGTTTTGAAAACCAGATGATCTTGGTTTTCTTTCAGTGAACGCACCACACGTGCATTCTGGGTGCTGGTAACTAAAACTAACAATACATGTTGGGTAGATAGAAGAAACAGGTGCTCGACCCATTGTCTCCTACTGGGTCACTGTTTTCTTTTTAAGCCCTGTTCCCCATTTGTTTCAGCCTCAGCTGCGTGGCATTTGTCATATGCCACAGAGCCCCTGAAGTCACAGAGTTAGTCTTGTGCATCATTACTTAATCAGTTTCCAGGATAGGTCTGCACAGGTGAGTTGGGTGATTATACGAATGACAGTTCTGTTTCCTCTGCCACTACCCAGAAGTCGAAGTCTGATACAGTTGCTGCAGCTGTGAGCCAAATAAATCCACACACCCGGGTTATAAGCCATCAGAACCGTGTGGGCCCTGAGACAAAGCATGTGTATGATGACGAATCCTTTCAAAACCTGGATGGTGTGGCCAATGCCCTGGACAATGGGGATGCCCGTAAGTGTTGTGGATGGGTGAGAACCAGGACAGAGCCATGTTTGTGTTTTTTGGGGGGAGTGTCATCTGTACTGATGTTTACTTCCCCTTCATCTGTTGACTCTTTGCCACAGGCATGTACATGGACCGCCGTTGTGTTTACTACTGTAAGCCACTTCTGGAGTCAGGAACACTGGGAACCAAGGATAATGTACAAGTGGTTATCCCCTTCCTGACAGAGTCATACAGCTCCAGCCAGGACCCCCTGAGAAGTCCATCCCCATCTGCACGCTGAAGAACTTCCCGAATGCCATGGAGCACACGTTGCAGGTGATCAGCTGTGGGGGTAGAAAGAAGTGGAACAGACAGGCATCTAGACAATGCTAAGCTCTTTTGATTCCAGTCATGCAAGCCTCAGTGTATATAAGATGTGCCCTCCCTTCAAATCTCCTTCATTCATTTTACACCTACTACCCTAACCTTTTTGGAATGCTTTTTCTTAACTTGGCCATTTTATATTGGAAACATACAGGGAAGTATTATGTATACTATGCAAGACATTTTACATAAGAAGTGTGTATCTAAGATGTGAAGATATCTGTCTTTCTATAGAGGATACTGTTTTGTTGCTAAACAAAATCAACTTCTTAATATCAGCTCTGCTCGTTATTTAAACCCCTCTCTACTGAGTAAATATTTATGACTAACATTTTGATATTTGTCCAGAATACATTTAGCAGTTTGTTTGTCAGAATAATTGTTTCTATAGTGTGTGTGTATATATATGTATATATAAGAGCATATCTATCATCTAGATTGATAATGTAAAAGCCTCCTGTTTGCTGCCACTCAGAACCTGTCCCGAATCCCATCTCCTTTTTGGTCCCAAAATAACCATCATTTTATCAAAATAATTCCTAATGCAGTTTTTGAGTATGTTTAGGAAGTATGGGAGTAGTAAGAAAATGAGAAGAAACAGTTGAATCTGTCACTTTTCCTTGCAGGATGTTTTTACTTAGGGACTCAGTACACAGTGTGTCTCTCTGCCTGTCCATGCCTCTCATGTTTGTGTGTGTATGTATATATTTATAGTCAGAGACAGAGGGAGAGGCAGTAAGATGTGTTGGAGTGTGTGTCTGTGTCTTTCAGTATGTAAAACCTTTGCAAGATTATGGTTCTGTTACTTTGTTTCTTTCTACTAACACACAGAGAGGCCAGTAAAAGGGCTTTTGAAATGAAGAGCGGGTTTGATACTTGGATGTAAGCTCTTCATGCTTCAGATCCCTTATCTGTAAAATGGAAATGAAAGTAGTAACTCTCACAGGACTTTAGTAAAGAAGTTACATTTGGTATGTCCTTGTGACATTCAAAATAAGTTGAAAATATATACTTGTGTGCTTACTCTATGATATTAACTCCTTGAGGTGTAGATACTAGTGATACAGAATTTTGAAATGAGGATATAAAAGTCAAGATGTACCTGAAGGTCACACAAGTGTGGCAGAGCTGGCACGTGAATCTGGATCTCCACCAACAGGATGGTTTACATCACTTTGCCTGGGACTGTACTGTCTCTTTAATTCTCAGGGAAAAGTGCTATTATTATTTTCTGCACAGTCCCTGCAAGATCATTCATGTTTTATTTTTGGTGTGAACTTTTCTTTTTTTTAATAATTGAGGCATGACATACTTAGGGTAACGGGTTCAGCCTCAGAATAAGTTTACCACAAAATACGCCTGTGTAATAATCTGCCCAGATTAACATCATTGATTTTTAAATGGAATGGTGGGTGTTTAAAAGTTTGAGGAGTCCCATTGCGGTGGGTTCATTCCTCTGTTTTCCCATAGCAGCCGTGGTTTTCCTGTTTACTGTATTTCCCTGATGATCTCTCTAATGCCTGTAGAAACTTAACTTTGTTTCTAGTATCTCATTTGTTTCCTGTATCTCAATGTACTGTTTTCTGCTCTGTCTGCAGTGGGCTCAGGATGAGTTTGAAGGCCTTTTCAAGCAGCCAGCAGAAAATGTCAACAAATACCTTACATGAGTACTTTGGTGCAAGTGCCTGCTCACCCTGTCTCTGGCCTGTCAGTCAAAGCATTCTGTAACCATTTAACAGTTAGGACCTACTGTACTTTTTTTTTTTTTTTTTTTGGTGGAGGGAGGGCCAGGGACACACCAGGTATCACACAGTGATGTGTGGACACTCAGGGATTGTATCCATACCCGCTGTGGTGGAAGCACAGGGAATTCCCTGGTCTACTTTCTAAATAAATTAATGGTTGCTTGGACCTTATACCTTTGGAAGTCAGGACTGACTTTCCACAGATATAAGCTTACTCGTGGAATCACTGTGTAATTCTGCATTGGTTTCCCTTCTGATTCTTGATAGAGATGCCAAGTTTGTGGAACGAACGCTGTCCCTGGCAGGCACCCAGCCTCTGCAGGTGCTGGAGGCCGTGCAGCGCAGCTTAGTGTTGCAGCGGCCACAATCATGGGCTGACTGTGTGACCTGGGCGTACTATCACTTGCATACCCAGTACTCCAGCAACATCAGACAGCTGCTGCGCAACTTTCCTCCTAACCAGGTAGTAACACAGGGACCATTTGTCAGAATGGTTTTACTGGGAACAGCCTGCCCCAGCGTTTTTTAATATTTTTTAATGTATTTTTAAATGGAGGGTTGTTGCTTTACACTACTGTGTTGGCTTCTGCCATGTTTTTGACGTGATTCATTCCAGTTAATCTGGTTGTGGCAAGCTCAGCAAGGCTTTGAGAGCTCTTAAAATGAATAAGCAAATGATTCTTGAGGTCAAAGACTTGCTACCATTCTCCTCTAATGCCCAGACACTCTTTCTTCTAACCGTCAGATACTTGGTATCAGTTTCCTTTAGACATAGGATGTGTCATTCCAGATTCCCAGTCAAGACTGTCACAACTGTAGAAGAAAAAATTCAGAGTTAATGGCATAGAATCTAGCTGTGTTCTCTTGGCACAAGTTATGCAGTTCCTCTCTGCACCTCAGTATAGTCATCATGGAATTAGGAAGAGTGATGACCTAATTTCATGAGAGTTTTGTGAAGGTTAATTGCTCTTTGTTAAGTTAGTAAATTAATTTGTTAGTACAGTGCCTGGTGGGCTTCCCTGGTGTCTGAAGTGGCAAAGAATCTGCCTCAAGTGCAGGAGACCTGGGTTTGATCCCTGGGTCAGGAAGATCCCCTGGTGAAGGGAATGGCTACTCAGGCCAGTATTCTTGTCTGGAGACTCCCATGGACAGAGGAGCCTGGCGTGCTGCAGTCCATGGGGTCCCAAAGAGTTGGACATGACTTAGCATCTGAACAACAAGAGCACAGTGGCTTGCAGTCTGTAAAATTTTCATAAATATCTCTCTATCTGGCAGAAAGTGAGTGTCAAAATATAGTGAGTTGGGCCTTCTGGGACTGAAAATGAGGAGTTGTCGTTATCAGAGAGACTTCTTGTGGCAGGTTCTGCTCCCCTAAATCTTTCTGTCTTCTAGCTTACAGGTTCAGGAGCCCCTTTCTGGTCTGGGCCTAAACGTTGCCCACACCCGCTTATCTTTGATGTCAACAATGTAAGTCTACTCTCCTGGGTCTCCTGCAGTTGGGTGGAAAGTCACTGAACAGGTGGTAAGGAGGCCGAGCCTCCATAGGGGAGTACAGATGTTCTTTCCCTTCCTTACCTTGCCTTCTCTTAGCCCCTGCATCTGGACTACGTGATAGCTGCTGCCAACCTGTTTGCCCAGACCTATGGGATGATGGGCTCTCAGGACCGGAGTGCTGTCACCAAACTCATTCAGTCTATGCAGGTCCCTGAGTTCACCCTGAAGTCTGGCGTCAGGATCCAAGTTTCTGACCAGGAGCTGCAAACCAGTTCCTCTGTTGGTGAGATCCTTTAGCTGGGCTGGAGCCATCACGCTACTGTAGACCATGTCCATGCAAGCCTCCTGCACACTCATATTTTGCCCCTGGCTCTGTTCTGAGATCTCCTGTCTGAGATTGATCCACTGCCCTCTTTCCTTCATCAGTTTCCAGTGGGTTTGATGGAGACAAATTCTCTCTCATACTACTTCTTTCTTCTCCCTCTCTGAGTGGACCATGTCGTTTCTTTGTGTGTTTTTTTCTTTGTTTTCTTCTATTTTCCGTACTACTTTTGTGTGTGCTTCTGCAGTATAAATGGATATGATTTCCACCAGTAGTCTCTCTGCCTGATTTCTTCCCTGGTTCATCTTGACAGATTTCCTCATCTGCATCCCTACTTCTCTCTGATATGTATCTTTAACCTGTTACTAATCTGTGTGTATATCTTTCTTCATCTCTCTCTCAATATATTCCCCATCTCTCCAAATGTAACTGTCCCCCAACTCAAAGTTCCATGTCTCCCCTATTCACCTCGTGTTCTAGAAGCCCTTGTCTACATTTTATCTTGTTTGTATCCCTCTGTTTCTTCCTTTCTGTATCTGTCGTCTCCTCTTATATCTTTTGCATTTTGCATCTGAAATAGCTACTCTCTCACATTCCTGTTTGTATATTTCTCTTTATGCATTTCCCTACCTGTCTCCCCTTCAGGTACTTTCTACTGTCTTATTTCCTGTACATTTTTTTAAAAAACTGCACTGTTTATGCCCCTCCTTCCTTCTCAGATATGTCCTGTTTATCCCATTTCACTACTCTCTTCTTTTGTATGGGTGCATTTCTCTGCAATGTTCCTTTCTGTAATTTTTATCCCCTTGTCTCCTGTTTGCTTTTGTGTCTTCCTTCTTATCTCCCCTTGTCTGTGTTGTTCTTCTTTAAGATGTCTTATTTTATGTTCTCATTGACATCCTGCATTTGTTTGTTTAATATTTTGGTAAAAAAACACAAGACATTTACCATCTTAATCATGTTTAAAAATATGCTTAAGTAGTATTAAATACAGTTACATTGTACGGAAATTTATGGAACTTAACTTGCAAATGTTAAACTCTATACCCATCAAACAGTAACACCCCAGTCCCCTTCCCCTCTGCCTCTGGCAAACAATAATGTATCTTCCGTCTCTATGATTTTGATTTTTAGGTACCTTATGCAATACTTGCCTTTCTACCTCTGGCTAAGCATGTGGTTCTGAGGCCATTTGTGTTGTTAAACTGCCAGGATTTCAAATGTTCCTCTTTAAGGAGACTTAGTGTTGCACTGAATTGATAGACCACGTTTTTGTATCCACTCATTCATCAGTCAGAAACCTGGGTTGGATCCATCTTTATAGAAAATAGTTTTGCTGTCTAAACCTTTCTTAGTGTCTCAGTCGCTCTCCCTCAGTGTCTCTAGTTATACTCCTTTTCACGTTCCACACACCTGTCTACTTCTTTTCTCTTTGAGGTGTTTCTGCCTTGTCTTTCCTGCTTCATTTTACTCTCTCACTTGATGTCTTTCCTTTTTAAATCCTTTATCTGTGTAAAATTCTCTGCCTTACTTTGGACTCCTGCTTTCACCTCAGGCCCTGGCCTGGAATCTAATGTGTATCTGAGTACTGACATGTACTACCTCCTCTCGGCAGATGATAACCGCCTACAGGAGCTCAAGGCCATGCTGCCCACCCCAGAGAGCCTTTCTGGGTTCAAGATGTACCCCATCAACTTTGAGAAGGTGCTTGGGAGAGGGGTGCCCTCAGCAGGATAGGAGGATGGGCTGAGCCATCTTTAGCTTTTGTGGGGTTTACACGTCTACCATATGGCCCTTTTTTTTTTTTTTTTTGGTGGTCTGGAACATCTTTGGCTGCACTGGCAGGTAATGGGGGAAAATAGATGTTGGTCCGTAGTACTGTCTAGAAAACCTTTTGTTCCTGATCTGCTTCCTCTATTCTTCCTCTGTCTCCACTCAACAAAAGGATGATGACACCAGCTTCCACATGGATTTCATTGTGGCTGCATCCTATTTCTGGGCAGAGAACTATAACATTCCCCTCGCAGACCGACATAAGGTAACAAAAATTTGGATCTAAACTTGAACCCTTTCTAAATTTGAATCTGCCACATACGACCTTTTCAGTGGGCTGTCAGCTTCTCTTAACAATCACCTCTGCTCGTCACATTCTGTGTCATAGAGCAAGCTGATTGCAGGGAAGATCATCCCAGCCATTGCTACAACCACAGCAGCTGTAGTTGGCCTTGTTTGTCTGGAGCTGTACAAAGTGGTACAGGGACACCAACAGCTTGAGTCCTATAAAAATAGCTTCATCAACTTGGCCCTGCCCTTTTTCTGCTTCTCTGGGCCCCTTGCCCCACCCCGTCACCAGGTAAAGTCTTGTATTTATGGAAACCTTCGGTATTATGCTTCAGTGCCTGATACATGTATGTATATGAGTGGGCAGTATATGTATCTTATCCTTGGAGAACTGGCTCTGGTTTTCATCATTCTGGAGGTTTGCTTTAATTTTGTTCACCCTGTGTTCACTGTTGGAACCTGTGCACTGTGCAAATGAAACTCATATTTGTGGTTTAAAGAGAGTGTAACCTGGGCTTGTCCCCTGATTTACTCTGCTGTGCTTTCTCCTGCAGTTTTATAACCAAGAGTGGACACTTTGGGATCGCTTTGAGGCCCAGGGGCTGCAGCCTAATGGTAAAGAGATGACCCTCAAGCAGTTCCTTGACCACTTTAAGGTAAGACCCCTTCTTCACTTACTACATGTAGGGTAGTGCTTGTCCAGGTCCCTGGTATTGTCCATCCTAGTGACACCGTTGCCCCTCCTTTCTACTGTCTTCAGTCAGAGCACAAATTGGAGATCACCATGCTGTCCCAAGGTGTATCCATGCTCTACTCCTTTTTCATGCCACCCAGCAAGCTGAAGGAACGGATGAATCAATCGTGAGTTGGGCCCACTGGGCAGGGAGAAAGATTCTCGTCCTGTGTCAGCTAGGAAGCATCAGCTATCTATGCAACTCATGTTTACTGTTTTCCTCAGTTATTTGCCCCTTTATGTCCTTTCCTCTTTTTCCACTTACCTGACCCTGTTATTCCTCATACTAGGATGACAGAAATTGTGAGTCGAATATCAAAGCAAAAGCTGGGACACCACGTGCAAGCATTGGTGCTTGAGCTGCGCTGCAATGATGAGGATGGCGAAGATGTGGAGGTTCCTTATGTACGATACACCATTCACCAATTTCTTTATGTTCCTCTTCCATGTTTTCAGTCAGCTCAACTTTCTGGCATAAGCTGAGCCTTATGTCCTTTTGAGAACTTCTTGTTGCTGCTTGCTATGTGTAGTGTTGGGATTCTTAATAAAGAGGAGTTCACCCAAGCGTGTCCTATCCTACCTTTGGCAGAGGCCCGAACCTAATTGTCTTCGGAAGGAGCAGGTTCACATATTAATCCAGAAAGCTCCGCAATGCACCAGTATGGAATTTCTCCCAAATTCAAGGTTATCAGATAAGATTACATCCAGTTGTTCTGCCAGATGCTTGCCTTGGTCCATTTTCCTCCTGTCCTCTGCTTACAGAGAAATAGAGACATCTCTAGGTTGGATGTAGAGCATATCTAGCCTTACCCATTACATTAAATCTGGTTGAAGTTCTACTCCCTTCCCTTCCCACAAGTATCTTGCTGTAACAGTTTTCAAGGTGGTAGACTCTGGGTCTGGATTATGGGTCTGAATTCTAAATCTTGCCAGGGTGAATATTCTTTGTTTCATCTCTTGAATGATCGGATGAAGAGTTGTTTGGAAGAATAAAAAGATTTTATTAATATCTATAAGTGTTGCAAGTAGTATTGCACATACTTTTTTTTTCAGTGAGAATATACAGAGCTTGGTCTTCTTCTAGCTTACTTGCACTCAGGATGGTTTATAACCATGCTTTTTACCTGTGCGGGAGCCTCATCTTAAGCTTTGCTCAACTGTTTAATGTCCTTAAGATGTCTCGTACACTTAGGAGGAAATTATTGACCAGACAAGAAATGTCCCTTTGTGCTGTACCCTGTTTCCCTCATCTGTGGGTGTCCCTGTTTCTCCCTTGAATGTTAGCAGACTGGGAAGATGTAAAGGAGTTTTTCTCATAGGTCAGCAGTGAGCGTACCAACAGTGGCCACACAAGCCCTGTCAAGCATACCAGATACACTGTCCAGATGGCTGAAGAAACGAGTGTTTTCACCTGCCACCGTGTCCCTTCCTTACCCTCTGGTACCAGCTTGGGTGCTTAAAGGTAACTACTCATACCCTCTGTATGTCACCCAGATATGTAAGACTCTTGTTCTTACACACCACTTGGAAATATCCCTTATTCTTCCACTCAGACCTGGGTATTGCAACTAGCTCAGCCAGTCCATAAACCAGGCAGGCCTGTCCAAATCCGGGCTACTCTCTGGGCCATCTGCAGGCCAGACACTGTGTATGTCCTTGACTCTTCAGGGCCACACAGGCCCAGTTAATCTGCTGGGTGACCTCAGTTCTTCCATACGTTCTTTTAGTTCCCAGAAAACCTCAGACACAAGGAACAGAATTTCTTTACCTCTGGTGTCTTACTGAAGGGCGGCAGTGCTAGTTGCCAAGCTTAAAACAAGAAGTTTCTCCAGGATAGGCGCTTTTACATCATTGTTGCTCTACATCCCTGAAGACACTAACATTTGTCCACTGTTTCCATCATCCTAGTGTTTGAAGGTTGCCTAGAAACTGTATTCTTCTCTTTTTTCCACTCTCATAGGTTCAGATCCTCTAGCACAGCATTTTGAGACTGTCGGGACAAATAGTTCTGTTGCTCAGCATTGTAGCCCTTAAACCTCGTGTGGCTGTGTAGCACTTGAACTGAGGCTACCGCTACTGATTAACTTAATGCTTCATTTTTTTTGTAAATTGAAGTATCTACAAGTAGAAAGGAGCTATGCACTGAAAAGAAAAACGTCCCTGCTCCTCGGCCTTCATTAGATCAACTCGTGAATCATTCAAGTCACACACTCTGCCAAGGATGAGACCCAAGAATTCACGTGACGACTATCAGGCTGAGCAGTGGGGCATCTTCAGAAGGACCACTATTACCTAGTCCCTGGAAATGAATACCAGCAGGCTCTGAACTGACCCCAGGGCCTTCCCTGTCTCCTACTGCCCCAAGGTCCCTTAGGACAAGCAGCCAGCCCACCATCCTTGCTTCCTCCCTGTTCCCTCCCTCACAGGCACACGCTGGCAGAGGGGCACACATGCACACCCCACATCTGCGCTTTCCTTACCTTTCTGGACTGCCAGGGAGGTTGCCAAGTGCCTGGAGGCATTCCACACTCACCCCCTGTCTCTGCTAGGATGCCATGGGTTTTCACATGGACAGCCTACCTTAGCACATCTCACATTTTGTGTTGCATCATGCCAGTGTGTGCCACCCTTGGGAAGGGAGCATGCTGCCTGATGGGCTGATCCTGGGCAGTACTGGCCCAGGACCTTCCCGGGTATCCTCAGGTGTGTGGAACTAGTCTCCAGTGCAGCAGGCTCTCTGTGCCTGTTCCTCCTTTGGGTCTCTGCCCTCTCTTCAGGACCTTAGTGTTCTCACCATCCTGGGTCCTACTGTAGCCACGTCCACCATTTCCACAGACTGGCACATTTCCCCACAGACTGGCACATTTCCCCACAGACTGAGCGGTCCACAAGCAGTGGTTTCAAATCCCCACCCCATCTGATTTGCTCTGGGTGAATCCTCACACCTTACAACCCCAACACAAGAAAACACAGCAGAAATTATAATTGTGTTTATCTGTTGATTTAATTTTGATCTAAATCCAGATTTGTGCAGCCCTGGTCCAGAGTTATCTCTGGCCATCCTTCCCTCATTCCTGTCCTGGACAGGGGCACTGCAAAGATAGGTCAACCATCCACCCCATATCTGGGGACCTTCCATGCCTCCTCTTTAGGTTGTTCCATGTCTCAGCTCCTTTCACTTTCATCACTGCCTCAGGCCTGGGTGACAGCAAGTGTGCAGGGATACAGACTGCTTCCTGCAGGAATTATGCCCCATCAGATTCTTTTTCCAAGGCTCTGGCAGCTGGCAATCAGGAAGCCTCTTTGTCTAGTTTTTCTATGTTACTCTTCCCATTATACACAGTAGAACGTTGCCTCGCTTGGCCCTCCTCTCTTGTTTACCACATCAGGCACAAGTTGTGCCCCCCACCCCAACTGGGGTCTTATTCTGCTGTTTGGCATGTCAGGCATGTAAAGGAACACCTTGGGTGGGGTCCTACTCTGTTCTTCCATGTGTCAGGTGCTTGATGGGCAGCCTCTATATTATTCAGCTGCCAGCGCTGACAGGTGGGGAGAGAGAGATGACGGTGATGGCTCCACCCACTATACATGATTCGGTACCAGCACCTAGCTTTCATGGCTGCATGGCTTTCTTCCAAAGACACTTCCCACAATCTCCTCCCTCACGTCCCCTCCATTCATCTCCCAACAGTCCACAGCAGCCCATGCCCTGGGTTTGCTCCACAATCCCTCTGTTCCAGCTTCCAGCTGTTGCACTGTCTAGGGAACCTGCAACTGTCTGTGGTATGTATGGTGCAGCAAGGATTGTCTGATTCTCATTTCATTTAGGCTTTCAAAGATCAACTGCTTCACTCTCAAACTCAAATGTTTCTCCTTTGATCCAGATAAGGATCCCCCCCCCCAATATGGGGTTTGGACCCCTTCTTCAGTTTCTTCATTTGTTGAGGACAGGTTCGTTGGTACTAACACTCCTGCTTTCCCCCCTATTTCCTTCATCCTACAGAAATTTGCGTGGATCTATATTTTCTTCTCTGGTGTTCAGGTACTCATGCTCACTCTCAGCTGATGTTCTGCAAGCACATCTGTTTCTGAAGGTATATTCCTGATGCATCCATAGAGAGTGACGTACTGCATGTACACCAGCTCTTCAGCCATCTTCAGTCATCTTATTCCGCTAAGAGAGAGAGAAAAGAAAAAAAAAAAAAAAACTTTGCCAGAAAACATCTGACATTCTGAAGACTTATTTTGTCGTATTTTTCTCAGAGCACAGATCAAGTATCTAATTTCTGATATCCACCCGAATTCCTTTCAAGATATGTTGAACTCAGTAAGTAGCCATGATTTAATCTTTGCAGAGACAGCTTATAAGTGCCAGTTTCCAGCCAGCAGGACCACTTCCTAGCCAAAGATTTGACCATGCGTTCAGGGTGTTTCATGTCCGTTGCGTCCCATGATGTGGGTAAGGCTCATTTCTGGGCCCAGTGAAGTTTTCATTGATATGTCAATCAGTGTGATGCTATTTGACTAGGCTCTGTGAATAGCAAAAATCTCCAGTCCATTTCTGTCTTGCTAGCCTCTTGGTGCAGGAAAGTCTTCCCTCTTGTTGTTTCTTACCATATCTAGAATTACATAGTTACAATCATTGATCTCATATGGAACTATATACATCACTATTTTATCAGTGACTGTGTCATGTACTTGATAATGTAAGACACAGCAATTTTGTGAAACAGACAATATATAAAATAATCTAGGGAGAAAATAAGGTCAAAAGCAAGAATTTAAGACAGGAGCTTTCATTAGGTATAGCCCAGTATGTCCCAGGTCATCTGACTTAGTTAAGTGATTATATCCAGGTGTTAATCTCCTGGTTGTATGTCATAGAGCATCTGATCTTTATCCAAATACTGATTACTGATGTCAGCTTTAAAAACAAAGGAGGTCCTTTTAACAACTTATATAAAATTTTAACAACATAACATAACAACAAGGAAATATCTCAGAGGTGATAACAAACTAGGATGTAATGTTCAGTAAAACATTAACATTTTTCACTGTGAGGGCATCAACCCTGCAGCCAGGGATGGCTTTATCACATCAAATAAAAATGAGGTTTGTCAGGAAACTCCAAAAATGCAGATGACAAACTTGGCTTTCCCATAGCCCTGATTGTTTCATTACAGATATTGCTTCTGTTCAGTTCAGTTCAGTCACTCAGTTGAGTCCAACTGTTTGCAACTCCATGAAGCACAGCATGCCAGGCCTCCCTGTCCATCACCAACTCACGGAGTTTACTCAAACTCATGCCAGTGATGCCACCAGCCATATCATCCTCTGTCGTCCCCTTCTCCTCCTGCCCACAATCCCTCCCAGCATCAGGGTCTTCTCCAAAGAGTTAACTCTTCTCATGAGGTGGCAAAAGTACTGGAGTTTCAACTTTAGCATCAGTCCTTCTAATGAACACCCAGGACTGATCTCCTTTA